GAGCCTGCAATTTTAGTGGTTGTCGCTTCTTACAAAAATGTGTTACTGAGTGTACTATTTGTTTTTCGTTTATTGTTTTTATATTTAAATCCTGTCTGAATTGTTTCACATTAGTATTTTTTGGGGCCATTTATAGCTTACATTGCGGTGTGAGTCAAGGCTCTACATTGAAGGCCGCACTCTGACCTATAAATTAATTATGTTCACTGCTTTGGGTCTTGAATGGAGAATTGTCTCATTGGCAATCATACCACATCTTTTTGTGTTTATATATATTTATGATCTTATTACGTTACCTTTGTGTGTAAAATCAAATCAGAAACAGGAGTACCATCTTCGCTAGCTAAGGATTACGGTCCAGTCCCCCTTTAAAGATGCAGGAATATGGACGATTTCGAAAATGAAGCATGGGAATATGTAAAATGGCAATATTTACATTTGTAAAATCTACTCACTTGTCAAAGTCTGAATAAGAATTGTCAAAGTAAGGCTACTATATTCATCATGATATTGGGGGATTATCTAAAAAATTATATTAATCATGGTTTTATCATGTTAATAAAAGTACTATCTGTTCTTTTGCATTTAATGTGCAATGAAAACAAATTTATGGTTTAACATCAGGTGTAATTTACATTGTAGTTATATAGTTCAGGATATGGTGTGTCTGGATAAACACCTCCTGCCTCCAGGGTTTCTTATCCAGGCACACCTATCCCTCAATGTATAACTATAACACGTTTCAATTATTGCACCTTACTGGAAATTATGATGGTTAGTTTTCTGCTAAAGTGACAGAACTTGTAATCTAACTATTGTGTACCTATTTGAACATAACAATAATAGAGACCTTAACAACTTTAAACTTATGGAGCACATAATAGTCACATCAATTATGTCCCATCGTCATGATCGTGAGAAAAACAATATTCTCTATGAGCTACAATATGGCTTTAGGGAAGGCAGATCCTGTGAAATCGAACTCATTGAGTTTATATATGATTTAGCAAACATGAATGTGGGACAGCAAACTGATGTATTGATAAGGGATTTCACCAAGGCCTTCGACAAGGTAAACCCTAGCTTACTTGTACACAAACTACAAGCTTATGGAATTAGAGGTAACACCAATATGTGGATAAAGAACTGGCTAAATGGGAGAACACAACTGTCGTACTAGAAGAAAGCAACTCAACATCAGTCCCTGAAGATTCAGGGGTACCCCAAGGCTCAGTCCTTGGACCAAGCCTCTTTTTATATTACTTCAACAACCTGCAGAAAGACTTAAATGCTACAGTTCGCCTGTTTGCAGATGATACCATAGCCTACATGTATCTAACAATAACATCAAAACATGGAAAAATATTTCAAGCTGACTTAGACACACTTAGTGTTTCCCCTATCACACACAAGAGTGCACACGCTGAAATGTCTCGCCTTCTTTACTAACCATTGATTTTATGTTGATAGTCCTAAATACAAAGCTTTACTACAAGTAACACATAAACTTAACATGATCCAAGAAAATGAGGTCAAGGTCAGATAAACCAAACGAGAAATACATGTACACCTTACAATCATTCAATAAACCAAACATAGTTGACCTATTGCTTATTGTTTCTAAGAAACAGTCTTAAACAAGAAAACTTAACATTGACCAATGAACCATGATTATGAGGTCAAGGTCAGATGAACCATGCCAGACAGACATGTACACCTTACAATCAATTTCGGCATTAAATATAGTTGACCTATTGCTTATAGTATCTAAGAAACAAACTTAATCATGAAAACTTAACATCGACCAATGAACCATGAAAATGAGGTCAAGGTCAGATGATACCTGCCAGACAGACATATACACCTTACAATCCTTCCATACATCAAATATAGTTGATCTATTGCTTATAGTTGAAGAAAAACAGACCAAAACACAAAAACTTAACACTGAGAAATGAACCGTTAAAATGAGGTCAAGGTCAAATAAAACCTGTGAGAATAACATGTACATCATAAAATATTTCCATACACCATTTATAGTTGACCTATTGCATATAGTATTAGAAAAAAAGACCAAAACTCAAAAACTTAACTTTGACCACTGAACCATGAAAATGAGGTCAAGGTCAGTTGACACCTACCAGTTGGACATGTAAACCTTACAATCATTCCATATACCAAATATAGTAGACCTACTGCTTATAGTATCTGATATATGGACTTGACCACGAAAACTTAACCTTGTTCACTGATCCATGAAATGAGGTCGAGGTCAACATGGTCAAATGAAAATTGTCTGACGGGCATGAGGACCTTGCAAGGTACACACATACTAAATATAGTTATCCTATTACTCATAATAAGAAAGAAATTAACATTACAAAAAATGTTGACTTTTTTTTTCAAGTAGTCACTGAACCATGAAAATGAGGTCAAGGACAATGGACATATGACAGACGGAAACTTCGTAACATAAGGCATCTGTATACAAAGTATGAAGCATCCAGGTCTTCTAGCTTCTAAAATATAAAGCTTTTAAGAAGTTAGCTTACATATGTTGGATAATTTTTTTTCTTAAAATTTTAAAGTTAAGGTAAAACTCCATATGGCATGTATGGAGGTGCTCCTAATTAAAGGAGGCTTATACTAAGAAAAATAAGTTTACTTCCGGTTTACTATTTTTGAATGCATTACAAGGAAATTAGTCCAAGGATCAGTTTAAAATCTTTTCACAAAATGGCGTCTTGTCAAAATCGATTCAAAGAATTTAGTGTTTCCATCGATTTTGTTTATTAAACAGTGTAAAACAATGTCGATCTATAATAAAGCAGGTGAAATTGATAATCGGCGGTACTGAGAAATGCTTATGTTTTGTTATGTTCTTCTCATATATTTTATGACGGTATGATACTAAACCCCTAACAGGAGGGATTGTGCCTGATATTCATATGATGAAGACATAATCTTTCAATCAGTTTAATTGAGGTCTGGAGCTGGCATGTCAGTAACTGCTAGTAGTCTGTTGTTATTTATGTATTATTGTCATTTTGTTTATTTTCTTTTGTTTCCTATTCTGACATCGGACTCAGACTTCTCTTATACTGAGTTTTACTGTGCGTACTGTTGTGCGTTTGTTTTTTCTACATTGGCTAGAGGTATAGGGGGAGGGTTGAGATCTCAAAAAACATGTTTAACCTCGCCGCATTTTTGCGCCTGTCCCAAGTCAGGAGCCTCTGGCCTTTGTTAGTCTTGTATCATATTTAATTTTAGTTTCCTGTGTATAATTTGGAGTTTAGTATGACGTCCATTCTCACTGAACTAGTATACTTATTTGTTTAGGGGCCAGATGAAGGACGCCTCCGGGTGCGGAAGTTTCTCGCTGCATTGAAGACCCATTGGTGGTCTTCGGCTGTTTTCTGCTCTATGGGCGGGTTGTTGTCTCTTTGACACATTCCCCATTTCCATTCTCAATTTTATTACAAACTTTTTGTTCAAATAAGTATGATCATTTTTACTAGTTCACATTTTTGAAAGATTTGAATCACCATATGAATTGATCTTTTAATCATTCAATCCGGATTGAGGAGAATTATGATATCGAAATAAATATCATCAAGTGAAAATAATAAAGAAGAAATAAGTAGAGAAACACACCCAAGCCAATTCTGGACTTTATACATCCACTTTCTTGTATTCAATCATTTACGAGACCATGGTGTTATCCAAAGAAGTGAAAAGGCGGCATGGCGTCATTCATTAGGACATAAAAAGGGCATGGCCTCTATCCATGCTAAACATGCCTGGGGGAAACACTACACACTAGCAAGATTTGAACGATCATGGTGTATGCAATTTCATCCCGACAGATGCAGTGTCTAACTCTAGATCTTAACATGCTTTAGGGTAACAAACAGAAAGACACCTATCAAATCAACATACCATCTACACAGCCACAAGTTGGAAGAAGTACAGGCTGCAAAATACTTAGGTCTATCCATACAAAACAACCTAAAATGGAACCAACATAATATGTACACCAAATAACAGATACAGCAAATAAAACACTTGGATTTTTGAGGAGAAACAAAACAACCTAAAATGGAACCAACATAATATGTACACCAAAATGACAGATACAGCAAATAAAACACTTGGATTTTTGAGGAGAAACAGAATAGCATCTACAAAAGTCAAGAGACAAGCGTATATAGGATTAGTAAGACCGCAACTTGAATACGCCACAACTGTATGGGACCCAGCCACAAAAGACTCCATCTACAAAAAGAACAAAGAAGGGCTGCAAGGTATGTGACAACTGCTAGTGTCACAGACATGATGAACCCCCTAGAATGGAAACCCCTATAACAACGAAGAAAGGCAACCAGACTTGTCATGTTTTACAAAAATGACAGTAACATGTTTGAAATATCTAAAGAAGGTGACTCACATCATTTTTGCGCCAAGGAATAAACATACATCCAAAAGCATACCAAGTACCACTCTTGCGTATTGATGCACATAAGATGTCCTTCATACCACAGATCATAAGAGACTGGAATGCTCTACCACCAAACATCCCACAGGCAGACACCAGATGCCTTCAAGGCCCTAGTGTCAGACCACTAGAGCCTTGGAGGCTCCAACTGTTTTAATAGCCAATTTTTAAAGCTCAAATTTCACTAGTACACGTATATATAGTTTCACTGGATCTCAGCACCTTACTTAACAAACGTCTTTTCCCGTAAACGGTACTTGTTAGAAAACAAATCTTATATATATAGCAGAATCTTCGACTTGTTGAAGGAGGCTATTATGATTATCCGACAGAACAGAAGCAATCGAAAACAATTTATAAGTTACATGACATGCATGAGTTACGAATCAATGTAAAACAAAAAAAAACACTTCTTTCTTCAATTGAATAAAAACTACATCTATCTGAAACAAAACGTTAAAAAAACAGTTGAAAGAAAACGGAACGCTTTTAAACAGATCATTACCTGCAAGCTGCCATTTTGTCCTATTTAATCGAAGCGAATGAGACCAAAGGTGTTCCGAATTAGATCTTCGAATGAATATATATATGAAATTTCAGACATGCTACTCTTATATATGTCGAATAATTTTTCTATTTCTCACAATTTCTTGGTAAAAATTAACAGAAAACTGCAGAAAGTTCCCACCACTATGCTTAAATAATAATATATGTGATATATATTAGTGTTTTTGGTGGAAAACAAAAAAAGGCGAATTAGCCCAAACGCCCGTTTATAACTCCAGCTAGATATGCACTTTTCAGATGGTCATACTTCAAAAATCGATAATTATTCAAATAGTTGTCCGATTAAAATGTTTGGACGCGTTTTTGGGAGATATCAACTAGCTGTATAACATATCAAAACCACAAAATGATAGCATCATTATTAAGGGTCGAAATTAGCACAGACCTTTGGGCTAATTTTTTTCAATTACCCCAAAGATTTTATTACCCCAAAGGTACCAATTTTACATATAAACGGACACCAACGATTCATATTTCGATTATATATATATATATATATATATATATATATACATTGTACATACAATACATGAATGCTTCATAAGCTTTCACAAGATGAGTCCAGCTCAAACACTGAACTTCCATAGTTACATATCATATTCAGGGAAATTAAATAGACAATTATATTTGACTAGCCTAGAGACCAGGAGATAGACCAGGGTATATCTTTACCTAAGAGTAACATAACACACCAGGGTATTTCTATACATCAGTACAACATTTATACACAATGGTGTGTAGTTGGCCCAGGGTAAAGTTAAATAATAATATCATCATCACATAAATCCTGAATTTATATATACTGAAAAATTTATTCAATTTGATGTATTTTTGACATCCAGTAATAACATTTTTATATTTTTCTAGATAAGATAAAAAGTTATGGAAGCTCAAAATGTATTGGGGAAGACAGATTTACATTTAAGTCTGAGAGAGAGGCCAGACATTCATTTTACAAATGTATATTAAATAAACAAACTTTTTCTTTCATTTTCAAATTTAAGATAAATTCACTCCAAGCGTGAATTCCAACTGCAGAAAATAAGTAATAATGCACAATGAAAGGTTTAGTTAAAATCAATTTATTATGGAAATTTACAAGTATGTGTGGAAAAGGGCACATGTTAAACACGCTGCTATACTTATTATTAAACACTAAGGTAATAAATTGACACACTGGAATGTATAATGCAAAGTAATCTATATTATTATATGGTATATAAATAAAACTGTGATTTCTATTTTGGCTACTTTGTGATGTAGGGTTGTTGGTAATGATGACAGTTACAAATAAGAAATTATTAGTGAATTGTAATCCCATGTTAATGAAAAAATATTAAAACTCTTGAGATAAAACTAACATTTCAATAAGAGGAAAAGTTCAATTCAGGATCAAATTATGGCTAAGGGCATGTCCATTTCAAAATTTCTGAATAGATCATGAAATTAAGAAAAAAATCTTTCAATTAAAATATCTATGTAATCAATTAAGCGTGAGAAAACACCAAAACATATTTGGTTCAGCCTTATTTTCCAAGATGCATTACAAATGTACTCATTCTTACAAACTTAGATATCATTGAATGTATTCATTATTGTTATTTTTTTATTATCAGGAAAAATGATATCTTAGGAAATGAATGCTCTGTATGAATAAACAATAATTTCTAATCAATGCAATACTCAATCCCATTACAGTTTAAGAATAATAATAAACTGCTTCGCTGAGCGCAGCTTGATACGACCGCAGAGGTCCAACCCTGAACAGTTGGGGCAAAATTGGACACAACATTCAAGCTTGATACAGTTCTGAATTTGGATTGTAATTAAATATTTGACATATTATAGGTTCTAAATAAATGTAGTCAAAGAACTTGAAATTGGTTATATGAATTGAATTTATATTCAATTAAAGATTTCTTGCTGTTGTGCAATACACTGTGCTGTTGCGCAATACTAAGTAAATCTGTTGTCAGACTATAAACAAATAAAATTCAATTTCTTCTCAATGTCATATTTGAAATTTATGAAAAATCAATAGGGAGATTACATCAATAGCTATAAATAATTCACCAAAGTTTCATGAGAACTGCTGAAAGCATTTTTGAGTTATTGTCCAAAAACTGGAAAATCACCCCTTTTTTCATTAATAAAACCCCAAAACTCAGAAATGTAAAATCTAAAATTTATAAAATTCTAAAGGGAGCTTACATCAACAGATATAAACAATTCACCAAAGTTTCATGAGAACTGCTGAAAGCATTTTTTAGTTATTGTCTGAAAACTGGAAAATACCCCTTTTTTTATGAATAAAACCCTGTAACTCGGAAACGTTAAATCTAAAAGTTATAAAAATCCAAAAGTATTTTAATTTTGTGCTGTTACACCACTGTCCCAGGTTAGGAGAGGGTTGAGCGCTCACCCGCCATATTCTTTATGTGCCTGTCCCATGTCAGAAGCCTGTAGTTCAGTGGTAGCCGTTGGTTCATGTTTGTCATATTCGTTTTTCGTAAATTGTTGTGTTATCAATTAGGCCGCTAGTTTTCTCAATTGAATTGTTTCATATTTTTCATGTCGGGGCCTTTTATAGCCGACTATATGGTACGTGTTTTTCTCATTGTTGAAGGCCATACGGTTGCCTATAATTGCTAACATCCACTTTATTTGAACTTTGGTGGATGGTTGTCTCATTGGCAATCATACCTCATCTCCTTATTTTTATATAATCCTGTCACATTCTTTAAATGGTGGTACCTATAGTTTAGTGACTGTCTGCAATCATTTTTTAAATGTTATTAGCTGAAATTATGCCGTTAGTTTCTTTTGTATTGTTACACATTTAACTAGCAAGTACCTAATCACTAAACTGTATTGTTTTTTTCTTATTATTGTTGGCTTTGTGCCATGCATTCTATGGTCTTTTGGTAGATAGTTTTGTCATTATCAAGTATGTGTAGCGATTTTGTGCCATGTATTAATACATCATACCACTTTATTTATTTCATGGTGACAAGAGTTTGATTCTCATGCTGTGTTGAGACCATAGAGAGTTTTAATTTTGATTAAGGTAGTATCTTCTCTTCTAAGCACAGTTATGGCATATTTATTCTGAGATATAAAAACTTCACTCTTTTCTTTTGGTCTGTATTCTTATCCAGATAGTTTTGCCATCCATCAGTATTATTTGTTTATTCATACATTTTTTCCTGTTGAATTAGCTACCTTGTATCTTGGTGTCTCTAAATGTTTATATTGTTTCTCTATTTTACCGTAGTTTGTCAGGTAATTTTTTATTAGATTTCTCTGCCGTTATAGTTTGTAATATGTTAAAAATGTTCGGCATAACAGTATTCTGTATTGTTGCAGACAAAACTAGTGCCAGAGGTCCTCTTAAATTTTGAAAGTTCAGCATCAGATATGTAAATGGGAGTATATATTATTATTCAGATATGTTCAGGCAAGGTTAAATAATGATAATAAATAACACTTAACATCATTCATCCCAAATCTTTTATTTTGAAGACTTTACTGTCCACTTTTATACTTGTTCTACTGTAATGTCTACATCCTTTTTTTAAGATGCATTTTTTTTAGAATCTTTAACACAACAGTTTTTAAAACTTGCATCCAATTCAGGTGATAATAATGTTGTGCTTAAAATTTTCAGTCATCAAATCAAAA